GAAGTGATTTTGACTTTATTCCGTGTGTCTTATTATATCAAGAAAAAACCCTCAATCGTATTTAAGAGTCATCAGCAAATAACCAAGTTTAAGCGATCCATTCTCCACAGTGATTTCGGGGCACGCGAGAAAAAAATAATGGTATCACTCAGTTACGTTTCGGAAAACAACGAAGTCACTCAAACAAGGAAAGGTGCGATAAAGTCAACCTTCTCACACCAATGCCGACTCTCATTTTAAAATTGTGATAACGATTAGATACTTGTTTATGAGTACCATATTACTGAGTCAAGTCAGTAATAGACGCCGGTTTAACAAACTGAGAGATTTGAACTGTATACATATATATTGAAACGGTTCAGCTTTTAGACCCATAAACTGACAATTAACTGCTATGTGAGTGTTTCATTCTCCTATTCTCTTAGCAGTAAAAAACTATGAATAGTGTATATAGAATTATGAATTTTCTCCCCTCCCCCTCCCCCCCCAAAAAACAAAGTAATTCATTAAACCCCAATTACTAATGAGCAACCTCCCTCCCTGACTGGCCACCAGTTCAGAAGAACTAAAACAGAAAATGCCCAGAGGGCTGAAAGAGGAAATACCGTTAATTAAAGTTTCTCGTCTCTATCTCGTGTCTGGTAATTTGATCCAAGTTTTCGGGTCCAGTACGTTTTGTATCAATATTCAAACCTCGTGCTGTGGGCGAAATTTTGGAACCTCTTTGTTGGATGATTAGTGTGTTAATTAACAATTATTAAATGAAGCTGAGTATGATTTGAAGGGGGTTAGCCGAGGCGGACCGTCTTCAGTTGTCTCAGTTGCCTGTTTCTCGACAAGTTCAGGATATAGAGGGATGTTCAGTTCTGCAGATCATGAATTCTACAGATCTTCTCCATTCTTGCTATGATTTTAGGCAATAGTTCAGCTATTTTTTCTTTGCGAAACGTGAAAAATGTCCCGTCGTTTTGTAATTCTCTACCAAAACAACACAATCTCGATCAAAGGCTTCCCGGTTTTCAGTCTATTTTCTGGCAATTAGGCTGTAGCACTTCTTCCAAATTTGGTCAACGCCAGCTGATTATGAAGAATAAGCCGCGGGATTTGAGCCAATCAGAAAAGAAGAAACTTTTTAAATAAACAATAATTGAATATAATGCCTGATTTTCATGGGTTGATTGCTTAGCAACCATTTTATGAACTTAGTACAGGGTAATTTAAACGTAACGCGAACTGTTAGTAAAATTGCTTTAAAGGCGGAGCCCTTAGTTGACGGATTGTGGTACCGATCGCATCTCGGCTTTTATTAGAGTCAACTTGCAATATCAGTGCAGCATGAAAAGCTATTTTCATCGTTAAATCAAAGCGAAATGCTTATTATAGAAACAAACCCAGATACCTTGTTGTCCATGTCTGTTACCAGCTTTCTGAGCTCCATCAAAGTGGTGTTTTCCGTTTCGATCTTTTGACATTGTTAAGGTATGAAGTTTCATTATAAATTAAGTACTTCTTATGTTTGTTCTAACTGATTATCAACTAGTGGACCTGTTCGGTGAGTTCCTATGAATTAAAGTCAAGGCTGATCGGACAGCGTATGATGGGTAATTTATTTTCTCAATATTTCCGTTAAACAAAACTAACCCTCATGAGGGGCTAAAAAGGCTAAGTAAGTTGTTCATCATGAGTAACTTGAAATTTTCCCCAGTATCTGTAAGAAGAATGCTAATTTTAGACGCATTTCTAGCTGTTTCAAACCGCCTGGATATCATATTTCAGCTGACATTTTCCCTGGGAACATGGGCCTGCATGCACATCCGTCTTTTATGTGATTCTCCCACGTCTTACTGTTAAGAAAGAACTGGATGGAGAGGAAACTTGGAAACGTCGAGGGATCTATTGATTTACTGGGTGAGGTGGGAAATTGTGCGTACCTCCGGAACTTATTCTGGCTACGCCCCCTATAAAGAGGAGCTGGAGGTCTTACCATGTACAATCAGAATGTAATTAATTACAGGATGAGGTCTAACCTGTCTGATCCTGACTTTGACATTATGTGTTACTAACAAAAAACCACATTCAAGCCATTTCTTCTTTTTTCTGTCACCGAAATGGCCTCAGCAGCATTCCAGCTTTCTTTAGTTTCCAAGGCATCAAATAAGTTTACTTATAGCTACAGTCTCTAATTCTCTCAATACCTTACTTTGAGAGCTGTTATCGACATATCAACGGCATTTGGCACCTTAGATAACGAGAAATTATTTAACAAACACCATTCTGTTTATCAAGCTGAAAAGGGTATTCGAAATTAAACCTCTTCAGAAACAGAAAATTTAATAAAACAAAGGTTACAGCGATAAACAACGTCAAATCTGAAAGAACTTGTGTACGTTTCGGGGCGCCTCAGGGCTCTATCTTCGGATCCCTGATATTCCCATTATGTATCAATGACTTGCCATTGTAACTAACTATCCCTTTCTAGAAATTTGGAACTCCAATGACACTAACCTTCCCTAGGCGTCTAGAAACCTTAAAGAGTTGTTCTCATCCCTAATTCATAACCTAAGCTAGCAATGTGAAACAATGGCTCAATTCACATCGGGGCTCACGCCAAATAACGTAGTAAGCAGTACCTTTTTTTTTCATATTTAAGAGATCAACATAAAGTTACAATAGCATTTGCGGCCCTAGCTTAGGGAACTGAAGGCAATTTGTCCCGAGAGAATTCTCGTAACAGCTTACAAATTGTTGATTTATCCCGCCTTATCCCGATATGATGTCTTATCCCGATTATTGTGGAGTTGCGTGTGGGGATATTGGTGCTGGACTTAGTCGAAAACCTGAAAAATTACGACAATTGCACTTATAATATGTGAATCCGGGTGAGATGTCAGATCTGCTCAGATTCTCCGCGACTTCGACTGGATAAGCCTCGTTCACAGACGAGTTTAAACCACAGGATAAACAAGCACTCGAATCATCCTTGTGGAATTTGCAAACATGAATATCATTCGTAGACATAATCTTGATATTTTCATTCTATGCCAAGACTCTTTACAGAGAGTTTCCGATATCAGGGTGTTGTCCCATGGAACAGTTTGTCAGCTGAGGCCTAGCAGGCCAATAGGCCAGTTAACAACTTTTATACTATTAAAAAAAAACTAGAAGTTTCAATTAGAGAGAAAAACTGCAGAACTAAAACTCGCTGGAATCGCCCTGAAACGGCCAAAGATGCTAACAACACACCACAAATAAAACAACGAGGCAAGGTAAAAAGTTTTGACGTATTATATTTTTATTGCCATTTTTGACCCCTTAAAACGACGATCGCTAAAATCCCCATACAAACCCGCTTATAACAGTTCTGTTACGCAACAACGATTCTTGCTCGTGAGCTTGGGTTACCTGTGTTAGCTGGCTGTTAACAACTTTTTATACTGTAAAAAAGTAAGTCATTATATTTCTCTACTGTACGTTTAGTATAGAAACCTTAAGGTATACTTGTAAAGGCATAATTAATTTCAAATTTCACTATGTATAATCCATTTATTAGTTAGCTATAGTGCACGGTTCCCTGGGGGAGGACGACGCCATGGATAAATAACTTGTTGTTGTTGTCGTTGTGTGTAAATTATGCTTACAATATAAGGAGTATTACCAATTTTACCTTTTAGGATACCAGTGGCAACTAATACTAGTTCACTCAATACGGTGTTGAAACCATTCATAAAACTCCCTGAGACTAAAAATACGTGAATTGAAGAACTGGCAGAACCTCTCGTAGCTCAGGGATGGAAACGTGGAAGAGAAATAGGGTAGATCGTGTAACTGGTGAGACTGGGTTTTAACACAGGCTCTAATATTAGAAGCTGAGACATACTCCATGTCCTTTTGGTTGGAGTAAATTCGAACCTATTCCCCTGGATCTTCTTTCTCTCTTATAGGTTTCAAAGAGGGCTTGTAATCACATTTTATTTGTAATGTAATTTGTTTTTGCTCGGAACGGGAGACATGTTTCAAAGACGTTTTGTAATCATACTCTACGTGGAACTTTAATCATAACTGACACAGTACGGAGTATAACAAGTAGCAAAGGTAAACTATCTTTTGATCATGATGCAGGAATGCAATGAACAAAAGGATACTGCTAATCCTCTATCACACCACGTGATCGCCAGCTTAAACAGATTCAATCTCGTTAAAGCTTTCGCTCCTGAATTAGTGAAAATAGTGTAAATCAGTAAACCTAGAATATTCAGCGACACAAGCCTGCTCCCTTTCTTCCATTCTATCGAAACAGTGCTTAGCGGGATCAACAGAAATTATAACTGAAATGTTAAACATAGAAAACTTGATCATGACCGCCACTGTCATAATCAGCCAACATCGCAAAAGGACAGTGAAGGGTGATTGGTGATTTCCAGTTGATCAAGTCAGTTCTGTTTTCGTAGTCTCGCGAGAGGCCTGTGATAGAAATGATGTGAATTTGTGAATTCAGTTATTGATCCTAATTCTAAGCTTGAATTTCATTCTTGCATAGTTTCCAAAAGTTTGAAAAAATTAAGGTAAATGATCAAAGAACGCCGGTTACGGTTTTGAGTTAGAATGTGGTTAAATTCAAACGCTTTCAGCACGTCATAAACTCTGTTTGTTTCTTAAGGACAAAGTACTAAACCTTTGGAATTACCTGCTATTATTGGTATTACTGACAGTGGTCGCATGTCCATGGCTTCTTTTGCGTCCTCCAGTGAATTAACGTAATTTCCTAGGAATGTTGAAAAACAAAAGCCAAAATGTCACACACAGCAAACGCAGCGAGCCAATGAGAATTCAAAGCACGTACGATAAACAAAAGGTGGCAAGTACAAGATGACCTTGTTAAAGCAAGTCCAAAACAGAATGTAGTGAATCAGGAGCCCATACGGGTCATAGGTTCCTGAGTGAATTAATAAAATAATGCGTAATGCTTTTTATTAGTGCGATATTACATTTTAAAAAAATTCAAGATGAAAAATCATTTACACTGCAAAAAGAAAACGTCTTTCGCGAGTAGTTCACTTAACTGTGTCAGCTAATGCATGCATGGCAGGCATGCGACGAGGGAGGGGAACGGCGGGAGAATAAAGGCGCGTGGCAACATGATGGAAGGCAACGCCCGCAAGAACGTTATTGTTTGACCCGTTTGTCTGAACCTTTTTTATAATTAGATTCTGAAAGTTAAAACCGCAATTGTTCATTATTAAGTATATAATCCAGAGCCGTAGCTAGCGAGGGGGAAAGGGGGAGGGCAGCTCCCCCCCGGACCTGTTGAGCCAGACACATCAAGTCTGTGGATGGATTTAGTTTCTTTAGACTCAGTTATTTTGGTTATAGTCTCACCAAAACGAAGGTTTGCATATGCTCTGTTGCTGTACAGCTTAGCCTTCAGGTCCTGGTCCTTGCAGTTTACTTTTATTCCCTCAGTATAAAAGTAAATGGCGTTGCTGTAATCTTCCTTCAAGTACGCTTCATTACCTTTAGTCTTGTAAACTTCTGCTTTAGCTGACAACGAAGCAGATTGAAATGTCGTTAAACCTGAGCGCTATTTCTTTGGGTGTTAATAGTTACCTTATGAATGGCGTAAACCATGACATTAGTCATAGAAATAGGATGTTTAATGAAATGAAATAAAAAAGAAAAAGAAAAAGGAAGAGAATGAAAGTGTTCAGGACAGAATATGGCTGCTGATCTCCCATCTAGTTACCAACCCCTCCCGTCAGGGTTTCATTTGGGTAGCGCTGTCAATACAAAGGTTTGCAAAGTTTTGTTTGACACTTGTTTCTAGAAAGCAAGATTATTTCTTACTAGGTTTTGTCAGTGAAGATGGTCACTACGTAGTAACAGTGATATGAGACTAAATTTTCTGTTTAACACGCCAAAAAGGGAGTCGTACATGATTTTGGTGATCAACTAATAACAGTAGTGAATGTCTTTACCTTTCAATGTGTCGTCATCAAAGTCCAATGATTGCCCTGAACTAAGTGCCGCAACATCAGTCTCACTTGTTGCTCCGATTCCACTTTGTGTCATGTTTGCAATGATCTGGTGAAAAACCAAAATGAAACAACGCTGTCTATTAATGAAATTCTGTCGCCCTGCATTAGCATGGGTGACTATCGCTCAATTTGCCATGCGTGGTGCTTTCCACTTAATGATAAAAAAATTCAAACGTAACACTACTTTTCGAACATTATCCAACAGAATACCTTCAGCTTCAGGCAGAAAGATCTTGAAACGCACTGAGATATTATTACATAGTGCAGCAGTGCATGAAACTATTTCCACAGTAAACCCAATGACAGGCACACCACCCTGTGAGCCAGCAATAACAAACTAACCTTCCAACAACCTCACCAGTTGACTCAAATTCAGATTCAGGGCAATGATTTTTTAATTTTTTTTTTTCTGAGTTGTCATCAATAAACATGCTAAAAATAGTGACCAGGAATTACACTGCCGCGTCACTAATGCGTGACAGCCTGCCGCGCAACTAATGCGTGACAGTACCTCACCTCAGCCCTGAGGAGCATATTGTATTATTTCCCTGTAAAAGAAACTCGCTTCGTTATTCGCAATAGCTGTCGTGATGACGTCTGCTTTCCACTGAAAGATATTCGGTAGCTATGTGAATAATAATCCAATAATAAACGAAGTACAAGTATACGCATGCGCAATAAGTATAGAGTGGATAAGGTTGCCCAGCATTGTAACACAATTAAAAAAGAAAAGCGACAAATAAGACTATACCAAGTCAAAAATCGACCCAAATATTAAAAATACGGTATCTTACATGTTTAGCCGGATACCGCAAAATGACAAAATACCGCAAAATAGTCCACGTGAAAAATTATCAACACCGCAAACTTTCTCATTTTAATGGGTTAAAAATATAATATACCAAAACTCTACGATGGTAAATCCCCAAACCCTTGGGTTACAAATGACCAACCAGTAGAAGGGGGTGGGGGGGAGCCAGTGATATGCCCCTCTTTTCCCTCCCTTCTCAAAAGGGGAAAAAGACAGATCGGGGTTTGTACCGTGAGCAAAAGCAAAAGTGCCTGACAGATGCCCGGAGGAATTTTCACCCTTGTGGCTTTCATTAGTCGAGACGAGCAAAAGGAGAACGGGGACAGCGAAGAAATTCTCTCTCCCTTCCACCGCCCCACTTCCCCCTCTTCTCTCTCTCTCTCTGTACCGAGAGCCTGGAACAGCCCATCACGCTTGGAAACAACTGACTATATTTAGTTGTTTGCTGGTGTTTTCACCGAAGTTGAGGGTATTTTGGCTTTGGCTTGCAGGATTCTTCGTTTTCGAGTTGAGGTTATTTCGGTTTCGAACTGAAGATGCTTGGTTCTTTTTATAATTGAGATTGGTTCTTTTTGCTATTTTTAGGTCGTTTTGATATTGTATCGCTTTCTATAAACGGTAGTACGTCACAAGTAATGATTTTAATTATCTAATTAAGAAATCTTTGATGGCTTTCGGTAAAACAAGTACTGTTTTTGTTCGAACGCGGAGCGCACGCGCGATAGCTGAAATTAAAACTACAATTAAACTAAGATTTAAAAAAATTGAAATACAGTGAGAAAAAGTTATCTTACACGGAATAAGCGAAGGTAGTATTTGCTGAACTGATTGTTGAGTGGGAAGCTGTCCGTCTTGAGACTTGGAAAATCCTTCTAAAAAACTGAATCCGAGTAAAATTCTGTGTTCAGGATTTATCCGACTGCTTTGGCGCTAAAAAACTAACAAGTCATGCGGAATCTTTTCACATTGTTTGTTCGAGAATGAGCCCATTGAATTGGACAATCAGCATGGATTTGTTTTCTTTACTTTATGGGGAAAGACCAAAACTAAACCAACATTGGGTTTTGGGAAAGAAAACATCACGCCGAAGAAGGCCTTGACTGCGAAGTGAAACAGGCAAGAACAAGATTTATCGATCAAAAACAGTTCAGACAGTTTCCTAAGAAGGTCATCCAAAATCCGCGGAAGAATTGCGACTTTTTGATTTTTTTTTTTTTTAAAAAATTATACCGCGATCGGAAACGACGACCAGACAGATCAAACACTATTAGTTAGTTTAAGATATGCAAAGTCAAACAAATTTTCTGGCTTGTCTTACTACAACAGTCACCTGATCGGTCATAATTCCTTTCTAAAACGAGAAATTATTTACAGGCCTATAGTTTCTGAGCCTACTGATAGATACAATCATGGAAAATATATGTCAATGATAAAGCTATAAAAGAGCAAGAAACTTAACGAAAACCCTACTAAATAGTGTCGATTTTCGTTAAGGTGCAGAAGAGTATCGCATCGAACAATATTCTTTGCCAAAGTGTGCCGAAGGAGAACCATTCACTTATTTAAATAAGCTGGTCGTTTTAAGTCGACTAATTTAGCCTACCTGTAATCTCACGAAGGCCTGAAATCTCTGATTCGTTTCACTACAATAATTGTTTCTCTCAGTCGTACCTTGATACGATGATATGAAAGGGGCGTCAAGTAAGTCAACTGAATAAATAGTCAATGGATAATCATATGATCAAAAGGACACCACGCAATAGGATAATTTATTTTTTGAAAATGTTCCTGGTACGATGACATCCAGTCTAAAAATATGTTTTATTCATAGAAAATAGGCCACGCAAAGTAATGTGACGTAAGGTAGTAGAATTATTTCAGGAAAATTTGTTCGATGACGTCCAGTCGAAAATAAAACTTAATTACTCGCCAATTTATACCATTACACACAAATGCAATATGTAAACCCTGATAATTTCCCCGCTTTCGTGGATTTTTCCTTTCGTACTTAAACCTGTAATATTTTCTAAACAACTAAAAATAACCTACAAATACTATCCGAAACCATCCGCTTCTGACAAAGTGTTGTTGTTGTTGTAAGGGTAGCCATACACCTTACAATTTATGCACAGATTAAGGCTACTCATGAGATCCAAAAGAACATAACATTTTTGATCTGGTTTTGTGGAACTTACATTTCTTAAGTTACCGGTATATGAAAAAACGGGTTATAGCAGTCAAAAGCAAGTTCAACAAGTTCCACGGTTCATTCATCACAAGAGAGAATATCAGTAAAAAGGTTTTACTTCTCTTGGTAGCGATATTGTCCAGTAAATGTAAGGTTAAATTATATAGTTTGAATATTCAAAGTCCTTTCTCGTTATTAATGAAATTGCTAGTTTGTGCATACAGCCGCCTCTCATTTAGCAGGGGAAAACAGTCGAATTTCCACTAAGATGGTTTCAAAGCAAAATGAAGCATGAGAAACGAGTTCAGAAATTCGTCCATAGTGATGACCCGTCACTACCCAGATCTAGGTAGTGCTTTTGATTGGCTGAACATTTATTTCAACCAGTCAGTTCAAAATTGCTTCAACCAAGATCTAGGTAGCGACGCGTCATCACTATCAGTGGAATTTCTGCGCCCGTTCCTCAGGTAAAATAGGGATAAAATGGGGTCCAATTAGCCACGGAATAACAGGGGCACCCAACGAGAATATAGTTCAAAATCACCTAAAAATAGCATTGTTCGACACTATCTAAATGAAGAAGTCGTTTGCACATTTTCTCACTAAACTTTCTTCACGACGAACGCATAAAATGTTCAACTCTTTTTAACGACGACTAAACTGTTTGGCCGCTTTTAAAACGGATAGCTGTGAACTCCATTGAAAATCTTATCGCTGTTTAATGTCGTTGTTGGTAACTTTTCGAACCAAAATTAACGGTCTTCGAGCAAGAATCGGGAAAAGCCAAGACTCTCACCTAGCCGGAGAGGTGCAACAACCGGAGAGTCTTTCAAGACCTTCAAGGCTCGCTCGCGCGTGATCTCCTTCTCGGTTCGCGCTCGATGTCCAAGCAGACTGTCGTCCTCGCAAAAATTTGCATCTCAAAAAACTGTTCAGGTTAAATCGTTCGAAATGAACTACTTTGAATCCAACAAATACATCTGATTGTCTCTCTGTCGAACGGCACAAGCGACAATTTTTCCAGATAGTCCTGGGTGAAACAGCACTGCTTGATTACAAATTTTTGCATGAATTGATGCAACGAAGCGCAAAATGTTTTAAAATATTACACATTAGAGCGCCGAATGTTAGGTCTTTCTGCAGGTACCGTCATCACAAAAGAAACAATGGAACCAAACAATAGAGTTCTCCTGAAAGGCTTTATTGTTTGGTTGTATTGTTTCTTTTGTTATACGTGATCTGTGCCTCGGTACCAAAGAAAACAAAACCCTGAACCGGATCCTGGTCATAGTAGTAAAATGACGCCATCATGCAAATGGCCCCTTTGGGTCGTATTCGTTTCCCCGCGTATTAAAAGAGACCTTCAGATTTGAAGACGAGGACGACTTCGAGTACGAGATTTGACTTCAAGTGTTTTCGCGTATTCTCGAAATATAGACTTCCCGGAAAGCTTCATTTTACCATAAAAGTTAGCACTGTTATCTTTAGTGAAGGAGGTTACGCGCTTTCCCGATCAATGACGACGGCTACCACATTTTCCCGCCAACATGACGCTGGTTCACGCGCGAGCACTACGTAGTATTGAGACAAGCTCGTAGTCGTATTCGTCTTAGCTTAGAATCGAAAGGTCTCTAGTGATCGAGAATTCATATTTAGCACCTAGGCTCTAGGTTAGCATGCGCGCTTTTTTATGATTTTTGTTGGTGAATATCTACTTCAAAATTTGAATTTAAATTGATTAATGAAAATAATTCTGGCGGGAATTTTAATTGAGGCTTAGTAACAGGCCGAATTCACACAAAAGAGTAATGAATTAAGGTATAAAATAAATCTATTACTGAAGTCGATCGCCTGTTGAAGTTCTGACTTCCAGTGAGTGGTTTACGGACATGAGAATACAATTATATTTTTGTGGAGTCTGTTCTAACACGTCAAGTTAACACACAGCCTGCTTGCTACCCATTAAAACAGGTAAGTTACCCCAAAAGAGCGCTAAAATTATTATTCGCTTGTAATATTTGCCTCACCTAGCTACGACCGAAGGTTTAAGATGCCACTTTCAGAATTTCCTAAAATCTTCATTTCCTTTATCTATCGGAATCTTTGCAGAGAGAACAGGTTTTAGGCTGTTCGGCTCGTTTTCTGGGGTTTTACGAAAAAGGGCTTTCCCTGTAAATAAAGTATCTCCACAGAGCAGTAACTGGACAAACTGAGCCAAGTCAAGGGTTTTGCAGTACAAGTTGATAGTATCCTGTCAACATAAATACGAATTGCGAAAGAAAGAGAAATTTTAATGAAAATGGAGTAAAGTGACCGAGGTAGCAATAAGGTATTATAATTTTAGTTGGCTGTTGAATCAAAATATTCATACTGTATCGATACATAAAGAAAAACATAATTGACATACGCACATTGGCGTGAAGGTGCAGAAGTAAATCAACAAAGGAAATGTCTTACACCAATGGCCTATGGTTTTGCAAACGGAAATATTTTAAGGTAACCGCGTGGCGTGTAGAGTATGGACATAGGTAGTCACCGAAACGACGTTGAGTGATTCACATCAACAACAACAACAAGGCAGTAAATCACCTTTGGAAACACGAAAAGACATTCCCTTTTTTGAGTCTTAAAGTGCTACTACGATCAAATCTTTGACTGCCATTTTTTTTTTCGCTAGATTGGCAGTTTAGTACTTGAAGTACATGGTGTGCAAATTATAGCTTCATACGATTAAGGAAAGTGGTATTTTTTGGCGATCAAAAACCATTAATTAAATGTATTACGATTCGGCTCATGAAAATTTCGGCGCCTGAACCGGGCCTAAGACTCAAATAAAGTGAATGTCTTTTGGTGTTTCCAAAGCTGATTTTAATTCAGCACGAAACTACTACTTCAAGACTCTCGTTGTCTACTTTTTACATACTGGGCAAACAGGTTGGTTCACGGTTTGGGCAAATGGTGAGCAAAATTCAGGAAAGGTGAATTTCGTCGCGGACTCGCGTTTACCATCTGTAGAAATCAGTTTCATTTACCGAAAAACGGCTGTGAAGGCGTGAAACTGGTATCAAAGATGCCTTTAAAGTAAATGGAACACGAATTTCCGTTTGGAACATTCTGTCCAGAAAAACAGGACTGCCTTTCAGAAAGTTCCGTTGCTCCCGGAAAATTTCTATTGGAACGACCCAAACGGTCTTGTTCCCTTTACTTTCCAACCGGATTTTCCGGAAACTTTTTGTAAATGGTAAACAACCTCTATTCACCTAACGTCTTCACCTGGAGACCAGACCCGCCATGGTTATCCGAGCCGCGCGAAGGTCTAGCCATTTGCAAGGCAAAGGCACTCACTTAATTTCTCGAACCCGCGACCTCCCACTTTTTAGTTAAGTACTCTAATGACTAAGCTGGTTGTCTCTTTGGTCCTTTCTTGGAACAAGACAGAACTTTATGACAGTTGATAGTACAGCATCTTTACGAAAGGAAGTTGGTCAGAAGCGATTTTCAAAAAACGTAACGATTTATATGGCCCACATGGGAAACGGAAAAACGTAAAGAAACAAAAGGAATAAAGTAAACTTACTTATGCTATATTTTGTGTCCTTGGTGTCTTTTTCAAGCGATCTTGGCTGATTTTGCGAGCAGAGGAGGATTTTCTTTTATCAAGACAGGATTGCAAAACCAGATAGCCGAGATTTCGCCGCTCTCTCGGGTCAGACCCGAGAAGAGACTTTTTGGGGGAGGAGCGCGGGCTCGTTTCCCAAACAGCGGCTGGTAATCGAGCCTAAAAACGGACCGCTTCAAAAAGAGAAAGAGAAAATATGACACAAATTAGTTTCCTTTATTCCTTTTCTTCATAGTAAGAATGATTTTGTATTAAATTTTTACGTTTCCCATAAGACCATGACCAGTTGAATTACGCCGAACGTTGTTAGATGTAGTGAGTTTGGGGATGCAGTATAACTTAATCAAGGGCAGGAAAATCAGAGTTGCACATCTTATAACTTCTCTAATTTAGATCATTTGAGGCTATGCCCCCACAAGTCCGCTTAAATTATAAACATATAGCACAAACTGATGGGTTTACGCATTCCGTCCACTAACGATGGAACGCAAAAATCAGGACGAGAGCTCGTTGTGAAACTGTAATGACATTTCTGTTAGAAATCATGCATTGAGCGCGCAACCTACAGATTAGTCATCTGCTAGCAGATAACTAACTAATCTGTAGGTTAGGCTGATTTCCAAAATTAGCTGTTGGCTGTTAGCCAATGAGATGACAGATAGTCAGTGCATTATATAATGAAAACAGTTTTGCGGACGTTAGTGGACAAAGTAAACCGTTTTGCTTGGTCAGAAACCAACGGAAGCTCTGACCTCCGGGTTGCCGGGCTTATTATTTGTTTTTTTTTTTGTTGTTGATGTTTTGTTTGTTGTGTTTTTTAAGGTCAGTCAGTGTTGAGACATGACAAGAGACGGATACAAGAAGGTTCCTGATGAACACCACACAGAGAAAGTCAGCTGTCTATCATTCATGTTCTTTCATTGGATGAACAATGTGCTCAAGACAGGCAATGAACGACCAATAGAGCAAAGTGACTTTTTGCCTCTTTCGGAAGAAAACACGTCCTCTTTTCTAATCGAACACCTTCAGAAAGAATGGATCAAGGAAAAAGCCAAGTGCAAGGGAAAGAAAAAACGACCAAAACTTTGGAAAAGCGTTCTAAAACTGCTTCCTCTCAAAGAAGTGCTGATTCTAACCGTGAACTACGCTTTGTATTCTCTGTCACGCCTCCTGGAGCCATTGCTTCTAGGACTTTTTATGGTATCTCTGATGTCACCAGAATTACACTCTGTGTATCTTTTGTATGGTTGTGCATTAGGCATGGGTATCAATGCTTTGATTGGTTCGCTTGCCATGCACCACTTTGACTACAGAGGTGAAGTGTGGGGACTTCGATTTAGCAGCGCCCTCAAAGGATTAATTTACCTCAAGGTAAGGATATGACAGACATTCCCGCCCTTCCCATCTTCTAAGGAAAAAAGCCCTGGGAACGAGGTTGGATTTTTTCCCTACAACGACCTCCACAAGAATAAACCTTTCCTTTAATTTGAATACTTCAGCAGCGACCTTAGCCGCAAGAAACCAAACTTTATTCAGTCACCCCCTAATGATACGTATAAACAGAACATAAAATCCTTTATGTACGTATATAACTATAGATGTCTGAACTGAAGATTTCTTATTATCCACTTCCCTAAGGACTCTTTAGAGTTATTAATCACATTTGTTTGGGGGACTTTTTGCCAGACTACTTACGATCAATGAAGTAGTAAGTTATGAATAACCCCCCCCCCCAAAAAAAAATATGAATCTGAATTTGACATCGACAACGGCATTACTAAAACGGAGAACTGGGAGACTGGAACTAGCACGGGGAACAGGAAAATGAAAAAATGGAAACAAAGTAGAGAGCTGGAAATGAACTTAGTGATAGGGCTGAATTTCCAGTTAGTTTTTTTTCTCATCCTTCATTCTTGTCGTTTCGCGTTCTCATTCCCCGCTCCCTGTTCCTTGTTTATTCACATCCCTCTGTCCCCTGCTATTAAAGAAGAGTGTGAAGGTTTTTAGCGCCTGGGGAAGAGCCCTGTCTTATTTGGCCTTGGCAGGTACGTGCCGCTAAAGAGAGTTAGTGTTTTAAGGAGGGTGTCGTTTCTGGCCCCGAAGCTTTTAAAAGAGCGGGAACTGGGTTGGCGATGAGCGGTCTATATTTGTGGCACCGACAACAACAATCTAATTCTATGATCGCAGTTTTTTAAACCTAATTCTGTATGCGAAATGAGCCAGTGTCATTTTATGAGCTCTCTTGTCTTAAACAGGGTAGCGAAAGACGATTTTTGTGCTAAAAAGGGTCATTGTTTGAAGTCCTCGGCGACACCGGTACCCAAAACTCCCTTGAGCGCCGCCCCAGGCTTTTACATTCCACAAAATTTTTTTATGAGCAAAGGTGGTGAGGAACCTACCTTTTATGGCTTAACCGAGAAGACTGGTAACGCGAACCGTTTGCAGATAACAAAAGCAGCACTTTCTCCTCAGGCATTTTAAAACCCCAAGCGTTGACCCGGCTGAGTTGTGAACATGCGACCTCCCTGTTCAGCAGACTTCTCTTTTTTTTCGTTGGAATTTTAAGGCAAATTTTTCACGTGCAGGGCTCCTGTCACGCGTCAGTGTTTAATTGCTAATCTTTTCGACCTTTTATAACAATCAGCTAACGTCTGGTAGTTTATTTCTTTTTCAGACACTCGTTCTCACGAAGAGTGCCTTGCTAAAGTTTTCAACTGGGCACGTGATCGATCTCATATCAAACGATGTGCAACGATTAGTAGAGGGGGCTTTTAAGTTACTATTCTCCATAGTTTTTACATTTTTCGAGGTCGCCGTAGTCACATTCTGGCTGGTGTACTTCATAGGCTGGCAGTCATTTTTTTTTTTAATTTTTATTGTTTTTACAAACATAATGCTGACTTACTTACATAGTACTTACTTACATAAAGCTTTACTACCTACTTACATATAACTTGCTAAGTTAAATACTACTTACTTACATAATATAAACTTACAAGATAATGCTTACAAAACAGGAGCCGATGAGTTGGAGTCTGTTACAAAATAATGAAAAAAAGCATTCTAATACACTAATTACTAACTTACTATCTATTAACGAAGAGTGAATACGCTAAAAACGACAAAAAAAAGATAAATAAATAAATAACAAACAAACAAACAAAACAAAAAAGCCAAAAAACAAGGGAAATTAGCTAGAATCAACAAAATTATTTTTACAGCTTGACTTGCACCTTAGCTTTGCTAGTTTCAATTTGTATTTTATTTTTAAGGATAGACAAAAAAGCGTCGAAAAAATAATCTTCCTCATTTTTAGACGCGGTGTAAATATAGTATTTTGCAATTATCAAGCAGAGGTTTGCAGTCATTAATGGGCGTTATTTTCCTGGCTTGTCTTTCTCCATATTACGCTCTGCTGTCCGCTGCTGGCTCTGAGTTGCGCCTGCGCACAGCCGGGATTTCTGACCAGCGGCTCTCGTGGATGAACCAGGTAGTTTCCGGGATTCGCGCCATTAAAACAAATGCATGGGAGAAGGAATACCGAGATAGCATTAAAAGCACACGAAGGTAGGAAAAACACAATAAACCTTTTAGCTTGCAAGTTTTGTTTTCCCAATTCAGACCACGTAATGTTCTTGAGGAAATTTACCTTGTCTTTTCATAAATCATGTAGAAATATGCCTGGTCATCTGGAACACAAAAGTACGTGGCTTTTGTACTAAAAGACAACGCCCTTAAGAAACAATGAGTTCCTCCTCAGACCTTTCTATGTTGCGCAAAATCTATGTATATAACATAAAGAATGAAGTAGCCTGAGAACTGACAGCAGACATTTCGTGCGCGACGACACCACTGGGTTTCCTGCGAAATGACGGCCGAGGAACGAGCGCAGAGATTCCATACTGATGACGTGTAACTAGTCAGATCTGGGTAGTGTCTGATTGGTTGAAGCAAAATTTCCCACTCGGCGCGACCAATCAGAAACACTATCCAGATCTGGGGTCAATTTCTCATTCTCTAAAACAATAGCCGCACTTGTAAATTACACTTGTAAAAGTTTTATTAAACTGGCTCCAGGATAGCGACAAGTCATCAGTGGAGAATTTATGCGCTCATTTCCAAGACGTTCTTTCGCGTGAAAACAACTAGTGGCATCGCGAAGTGTCAGCAGTTTTCTCAGGCTAAGAATGAAGCGCATCTTCTAAAAATCAATATTTTATTTTCAGCCGTGAAATAAGTATTATCCGAAAGAAGAGCATCATTTTGACAAGCCTTGCTGCCTTGGACATGGCTTCAGTGCCAATGGCTGCACTTGTGTCTGTTATCGCAATGGTATTAACTGGGAAACATCTGACACCAGTTAATGTTTTCATGCTTATCTCTTTCATCTATGTATCAAGAGTCACCTGTTCAATTTTACTGGCCAGTGGTTTGCAAGACACATATGACGCGTATGTTTCACTTAACAGAATAGAATATTTTCTTCTGTTACAAGACCCACCCACGGGCGCCGCTCCAGCTCTTCAGTTCGCGAATCCCACAAGAAACATGGAGGGGTCCGCAGCGATGCTGAAGAGTTCTTTATGGCAGCATAAGGAAGAAATGAGAGAAAACGAAGAAGATGGCATTGATGAACATAAAACTCGTGACACGATGGATACTTTGACTGTGTCAAGATTAAGTTATGAACAGTCAACGCGAAAAGATGAATTTATTCTACAAGATATCGAATTTAAGGCAGCTTCAGGGAGCTTAACAGTCATTACCGGGCCAGTAGGTAGCGGAAAGTCTACCCTTCTCTCAGCAATCGCTGGCGAGGTACCAGACAAACAGGGAAACGTAATCTGCAGAGGGGCTCTTGTTTACGCACCTCAGATAGCTTGGGTATTCTCGGGAACAATTAGAGAAAACGTTTTGTTTGGCGAACCATATAATGAATCCAAGTACAAAAGAGTCATTGAAGCTTGTGCGCTGACAGAAGACATTCATCAGTTTCCTGATTGTGATGAAACGATGGTTGGAGAACGCGGTGAATTGTTGAGTGGGGGTCAGCGGGCCAGAGTAAGCTTGGCACGCGCAGTCTATGCAGATGTGGACCTTACTTGTTCGATGACCCCTTAAGCGCTGTAGATGTCAAAGTTGGTCAACATATTTTTGAAAAATGCTTCAAAGACCTGCTGGGTTAAAAAACCCGTGTGATTGCTTCCCACCAAGAGCTGCTTATGGAAGAGGCTGATAATATCATTGTGTTGTATAAAGGCTGCGTGTTGGGTGAAGGAAGCTTTAATGAGCTGAAGGAAAGAGGAATTCTGAATGAAATTATTGACCCACTCTATGCCATGAAAGTAAGCTGTGGCAAGTCAGATCACCACCTTGATGAACGTAATAATGAGGACGATGGTGCATCGGACAAACCTTTCCCACCTCAGGTCAAAAACGAGGCAAAGGGTCTACAGATATCGGAAGAAGATCGCATGACCGGAGTCGTGTCATCCAAGCTTTACTGAAATTACTTCAGAAGCGGGTTGAATTCACTGGCGATAATTTCATTATTCCTACTTGTTCTCATCTCTCAAGGTAAGCGACAGTTCTACAGGTTTAGAGAACGGATTGTATCATCGGAAAAGCCCCGAGGCGTCATATATTTTCATCAATATAATGATGAGTTAAATACAACCCTACTGGAAACTACGCTCTCCTGGAGAGACGACGGGAAGAGAGACCTGCGCTACTAAGTTGCAATATACGCTTTCGCGAGAGCACTGTACGCATGCGTACATTATCACCCCTTACATTATCCGCTGACGCCCCCTAAGAATATCCAGTTTGCATAACCGAGTCTTTCAAACGCAGCTTGTAAACTGCGTTTCATCCGCCCCGATTCTCTTAAAAAATATCAATAACAATAACAGTAACTATAATAACAATAACGATAATGATAATAATAAAATACTGATAGTAATAGCAGTAATAATAATAACAAAAATAATAATAAAGAAGAAGAAGGAAATTAAAAAAAATTTTCCCTACGAGGAATCATTCCAAATCATGGAAGAGAAATGATGATGGGAAAACGGACAATCAGGCGTCAGGTTAACTGATGAATATGAAAGTCAGCTATAAAATGAAAAGTCCATCCACTGAAATCACACAAACTCTTACGTAGCGCCGAGATAATCGTTGTTTTACTTATCAAACCTTTTTGCTTTTCTAACTTGACGTCGCCGTCGCCGTCGCAGTTGTTTTAAACTGTTTTGTCTCACTCTTTTCACAGCATTGCTAGTTTCTCCTGATGTATGGCTGTCTATTTTGACACAGAAAAGTCCAGACGATCAGCGTAACAAGACGAATTTAACCATTTACGGTTGCCTGGTCACCGCAGCCTTCATAGTTGCCATCATCCGAGCGCAGGTATTCCATCTGGCTTCACTGAGATGCTCGGAACGTCTTCACGACAAAATGGTTGTGGCTGTTCTACAAGCCCCGGTGCTCTTCTTTGACTCCAATCCCGTGGGGAGAATCATGAATCGTTTCTCTAGATAGAGATATAGGTTGTTTGGACGAATTACTGCCTAAAACGTTTCTGCTCTCCATTCAGTATGCTTTGATGATGTCGACAGCAATTCTTGTGCCAGCTGCCACGAATCCTTGGCTTCTACTGGTTTTCGTACCCGCCACTTTCCTAGCTGTCTACATTACCAGCTACTACTTGAAGACATCTAGGGAACTGAAAAGACTGGAATCCATTTGTCGCAGTCCGGTTTTCTCTCACGTTTCAGAGACCCTGAATGGACTGGACACCATTCGGACAAGGAAAAGACAAGATGACTTTGTGGATCGGTTTCATGGGTGTGTTGAAATCTTTTTTTATTTTTTCATTTTTGCATGATATAGTGATTACAGACAAACACCTCGGGAAAACGGACACCTATAAAAGTTGATCTATGCCGCTCTTTACTCCCAGGGTTTGTGACATCACTCTGAGACGGACCCAACGGTGTCCGTCTTCGGAGAGTCACGGCTATCCCAGAAAATATCACTTCTTTCTACTCTCAAGCGCGATTACTCAAATGGTTTGAAGGTTAGGTTGCGTTTTCGAGTTTATAATGAGACACGTTAAATTGAACCAAAATCTTTTTTTGACAGACAAGAAACTCTCAGCAGATGATTCTTCAAGTTACTATGGCATACACACACCCAATGATATTGGCTGTTTTAAGCAATCTGACTGGTTCGCTAACTAGGAAAATTGAGCATCATTCACTACCTAGCGAGTGGAAAATACATGATCTTCAAAACAGAAACAAAATGAATTGAATGAAAGAAGATCAGAAACAAGTTAAGAAGCTTTTAACCGTTTTTAATTATGATGACGTTAAGATAAATAAGTGTGTTCTACTTTTCAAGGCATTGCAAGGCGAATCGCGCATGTCTATCAATGATCTCTGCCGTACAAGCCTGAAATTTGTTTTTCAGGCTTTCTTTTCGCAACTGCAAAAGTTGCGTATACAGCTATTTTGAGAAAGGTTGGTGGAAAAAGTGTGCACGCAACAATCCCGAAAGGTAATATGGGATATGATCGATACACTGTTGCTGGCGACTGTAGCTGTCGAACCTACTTTTGTTGCTTTCCTTTAGCACTTGCAAACACATTTCCATGGCCTTTCGTGCCAATTCTTTCAAATTTCTCTGAAGAACAGTGAACTTAAAACCACCCACAATGCCTTTCGGGATTGTCGCGTGCACTTTTTCTGACAACCTTTCTCGAAACAGCTGTATAACTGTCATGATCATCCTTCATTTAATTCTTCACTCCGCATTTCAAGCATATGATTTTTATATATTCAAAACTTGATCTCTTAACTGTTACGAACAAATCAGTGCACGGTAGAGAGACGAGACATGGCCAATATAATTCGTATGCCCAACGTTTCGACACATCTCCAAAGCGGGAAGGTCTTTTAGCGTCAGTAGCATACGGTTGTGGAACAGTCTGCCTGATGATATTAAAAGGAAAAACAGTCTTTCATCTTTTAAGAATGCTTTGATAGCTTATTTTAGAGATTCTTATATTGATATTGATAATTTTGAAGCCTTATTGTAAATATATCTTTGTATTGTTAGGTTAGTTAATTTAGTTGAAGGCCAATGGCTTATCAGCTTCTACTGTTATGTGATAACTTATTTTAATGATTCTTATATTGATATTACCAATTTTTAAGCACTATTGTAAATATATATCTGTAATTTTTAGGTTAGTTAGTTTAGTTGGAGGGTCACTGGTTTATCAGCTTCTGCTGTTATGTGTTTACCCTCATTTTAAAATAAAGTTGATTGTTATTAGACTTTAAGTATAAATAAAAACCACAGGCCAACCAACCTCTGATGAGGGAGTCATTTTGCGAAATAACTTCCCCACCGTCGGCTAGAAACGGGCAAATTAGAAATCATCTTGAATTCTCATGAACAAAACAAGAATTGCTTTGGGAATATACCGTATTTATTTGAATAAGCGCCCAACCTCGAATTAGCGCCCAACTCGAATAAGCGCCCATCCTAAAGGCAGAAAAAGATAATAAGCGCCCAGCCTCGAATAAGCGCCCACCCCCTCCTCCCCCCAATCAAACTCAAATAAGCACTCACTCCCACCCCACCCAATTAAGTGAATAAGTTCCAATAAGAGACTTCCTTGAGGACGGAGTTTTCTTCAGAGTATTTTACAGAAACCTTGCTTCGTTACTTCTTCGCGTTTTGTTATTAGCATTTATTGTTTTGTTGCAAAATAAAAATACTTCACTTGCTGAAAATGGTGAAAATTTAATAAGCGCCCAGCCTCGAATGAGCGCCCACCTCGAATAAGCGCCCACTCTCAAGGTCCAAAAATTTAATAAGCGCCCAGGGCGGTTAATCGAATAAATACGGTAATAAAATTTCTTTTGTTTTACTTCCTCAGGTATCAAGATGTATACAGTCAGGTATATATTATGGTGAAGGCGAGTGCTCGGTGGCTTGGTGTTCATATGGATCTTCTCTCTGCTATATTAATTGGTACACTGGCAGTAGCTGCCGCTTTGGTTTCTCAAGATGCTGGTACGTGAACCAATATCCAGTCATAACATTCTTTCAACATCGTGAAAGAGAACTTTAAGCTAAATACACTTTTTCGCGTTCTTATATACAGAGGAATATCGATTTTTCGAACCACCTTTGGAATAGCGTTGAAATTGGTTTAATTGGGCCTTGTCCGGTCCACATAAAATCAATTTGAGCCTTGCTCCGCTACTCCCTTGAATACCGAAAAACCCAAACTTAAGAGAAATGAAAGGTTTTTCTCTTTTGGCTCATTATAAAGCTGAATTTGCAAAACGGAAACAAAATCGAAATTATTTTTAACCAAATTGAACCATTTTCAACAATAACAACGCCAAGTAAACAAAAACAAAACAAATGTTTCTCTTCCCGCCCACTTCATTTTTCGGGTCCGCCTCTCTTTTTTATCATTTGTTATTGGAAAAGTTGGAACGCACAAAAACCAATAGCGGCGGTATGCCAAAAGAGGAGATACAAGCCAAAGAAAAAAAACAAGAAACTTTCAGGCAGGCTAAATGATAAAGCCAAGCATTCATTACACACTGCGTCCTATTCACGTTTTTAATGCAACCTACATAACGAGATATAAGGTACGACACATCACGTTGCTGTTTAAAACTTGTACCCTATAAACCACATTTGTGTTTTAGCAATATCTGACGTTTCATTCAATCCCGACATTAATATTTGTCCGAAGAACTCCATCTTATCCTTAGGAGAAGGCAATAATAATTTGTAAAGAAAGCATTAAATTTAAAAGTAAATAAAAGTCAGAAATAACAAAAAAGATCCCGCCTGCTCTCTTTTTCGAAGAAAGCCGGACGAGAAACAGTTGCCGCTTTTTTTTTTTTGCTTGGCCTAACACGAACAAAAACAACTATTAACAGTAGCAGTATTTAGTACGGTTTTTATTACCAAAAGCGGTAGGATGCAAAATTAATAAGGTCAGCTGTAACAAAAACTGATAAACACGTTAAATATTCTTTTTCTTTTCCAATTAGCATTTGCTGGTCTAGCCCTTGTTTACGTTATTCAAACTTCAGTTGTCACACAATACGCCGTCAGGAAAGCTTCAGAAGTCGAGAATTTAATGACATCAGTTGAACGAGTTATCACGTATACTAAACTTGAGTCTGAGCCTGGATACAAAGTGAAACGACGTCCCCCGGAAAATTGGCCAAGTGAAGGAAATATCACATTCTATGACGTATCACTGACGTATTATCCGGGGGGTCCTCAAGTACTGAAGAAAATCAACCTCACAATCAAAGGAGGAGAAAAGATTGGTATCGCTGGTCGAACGGGCGCAGGAAAATCTTCATTTGTCGCTTCTCTAATGCGCATGCCCGAAGCCGATGGAGGGATAACGGTCGATGAAGTTCGAATAAAGGACATAAACCTCTGCGAAACACGACGCTCAATATCAATTCTAGGCCAAAGTCCTGTTCTTTTTAGTGGATCACTCAGAAAAAACCTTGATCTTATGGAGCAGTTTCAAGACGCAGAATTGTGGTGCGCTCTGGAAGATGTACAGCTGAAAGATTTAGTGGAAAGCCTAGAGGGGCAGCTGAATCATGAGTTATTGGAGTACGGGGGAAATGTCAGTGTGGGAGAACGCCAACTGATCTGTTTGGCTCGATTGTTGCTACAGCAGAACAAGATCATTATCTTGGATGAGCCAACTGCACACGTTGATCCAGACACAGAACAAACCATCTGGAAGGTAGTTCATGAGAAGCTGAAGGACTCCACAATCATCACTATAGCTCATCGTTTAAACACGATAAGAGACTGTGACAAGATACTGGTATTAAAGGACGGACAAGTTAAGGAATTTGACGGGTTTGATAGGTTATTGAATACAAAAGGAAGCGTCCTGCGAGAAATGGTTGAAAAGCTAGGAGTGTGATTTGCACTTTTACCATTAGGTATCATCAGTGCGAATGTTGGTAATGCGGAAAATATTGGATTAAGAAACCACGGGAACGGGAGATAACGCGGTTAATTTTTTTAGTACGATCGCCGCCAATATTGTAAAACAATATACAGCGGGTTTTCTAATATGTAGCCGTTTTATAGCTACATATTTGGTAGAAATAAGAAACTCCGAAATTTTTACCTGAAATGGCTCCGGCTTTCAGGTAGAACTTAGACGCGCGTATGATATGATCAAGAGCTTCGATTTTGTCCTGGATTGATTGCTTGTTGGGGCCGTTTTCTAATAAAGCAAGGGTGAAAGGAAATCTGGACGCGTGTTTCTCCGAAGGGAAATAATCAACACCCAAAAGTACCGTTTCTTTCTTTTTACAAAAACAGTTTTCATCAGCGCATAGTTGAAATACACATTGTTACTTAATTACGTAATATGATTTATCAATCTGTACTATTGGAAAAAATGTTATTTATTACAAAATCATCGACTTTAAAGTTCATTTTATCTCTTTATGCACATTCAAAATATCTCAAAATGGACACCATCATTTCAATAAAAAAAAAACCTTGCAGTCTTGTACATTTCCTCTGTACAAGGGAGTTACTAGACTTACTAGAAGGTCAACGCATAACCTCCCTGCAAGAAACAGGTTCAACATGAGCTCAGCAAAGAGTTTAAATTAGCAGACCGCACCCAGCTATGGCTGAGAAAACAGTCAGAATGGTGTTGAGCAAGGTATGTTCAGTTTGTCCAACAGGCACTTGAAAAACAAGGAGATTCTCCTGCATAACATACGACAAAAATTCTTAAAAACAATACCAACATAATGTTCTAAGAAATCAGTATCGCCAGAAAAACACTAGCCTGGGAAAAACAGCCGACATTTCGCGACGTCACCCCTGGTTTCCCCGCGAAATGGCGTCTGAGAAACGAGCAAAGAAAGTCCACACTGATAACGCGTCAGTGCTTCTGATTGGTCGTGACACAACATCACACAGCACGAAAAGGCAAATTTAAGTTAGCGTAATGGTGGCGTAAAGCTAGCGTAAAGCTCTCATTTACGTAACTTTACGACACATTTCAGCCACGTAAAGCCGAACTTTACCTTACCTTTACGCGTATGCGTTAAGGTATCGTAAAGAGACTGTTTAAGCCCTGCGTAAAGTTGGTGTAAATACGCCGTAAAGAAGGGATTTAAGCTAACGTAAAGTTGGTGTAAATACGCTTTAAAGAAGGGATTTAAGCTAACGTAAAGTTGGTGTAAATACGCTTTAAAGAAGGGATTTAAGCCCACGTAATATAGTTTACACTACTTTTACGTGCCAGGCGGACATGTAAAGGAGTAGCACTTTAAGAGAAGTAGTGCTTATTGTAAACGCCCAACCAATTTCCCTTGACCAAAACCAATTCTATCTTTCTTTTCACATATCAACAGCTACGTGTACGAATCGCACTCGTTTTTGCCCCAAACATGAGCTATTTTACAAGGTTTTCCTTTCACATGTTCACACAGACGTCTTACTAGAGACAAAATTCTTAAAGGAAGTGTTGAAAAACTAAGGATTCAGGTAACAAATGCACTGGTTTATTTGCAAGTAAAATGGAAAGGCATTCTAGTCTAACACCTAAGTAATATTAACTTTCAACATGTTCTTATAAAAACAGTAACTCTATTATACCAGTATAAAGACATGTACACCTTTCAAACGGATTAAAATCTAGTCTTTTAAAAAAATTGAAATTCGTAAATCATCTTAAAGAACTCTGATTAAGTAAATTTAACTTTAAAGAGTTGTTTTACATACAAAAACTGTGACTCTAATATGTTGAGATGATATGAACACTTTTTTAATTCGTTTAAATACTCGTCTCAAAAACTGGGAAACTAGAAATCATTCTGAACAAAGCTGTTAAAAGTAAAATGTAACTTAATTTTTTTTAACAGTAACTTCAACATACAAATGCAAAATGGTGTTCTCGAAAAACATTATCGGCAACAAATCTTCTTAATGCAGCATAATCTATGTTAAAAGCTACAAGGAAACTCATAAAAATAAAAATAATTCGAAGCAATTTCTGATTTAAAAAAAAAACAATAATATTGATAGTTTCTTCACTTAACCCTTTCAGTCCCAAAAGTATTCATTGGCAAAATCATCAAAAAATCAAAACAAATATTTCATTTTCATTTATCCTCTTAAAACCAACTTATACGAGTCCATCATTCACACTGGGAGTTAAAGGGTGTAGATAACATTTTTAAATAAAAAAGTAAAAAAAGTTTTGTGTGACTAAGATAATTCTGTCTCTGAATGATAAGTGTCTTGTTCAATACTCTGGGGATGAAACATTGTCCTTTGTTGTCTTTTTTAGTTTTTTACTACCCAATGTTGTTCTGGGCGTGGTAACCCTTGGAACTAAACTGGAGCCTGTTCTGGGTGTGGAGGTAGCCCTTGGAGTGGGTGTTGTTCCTGGTGCTTTGTTGGTGGTGGGTGGTCTTGCTGGTGGTCTATTGCCGGTGGATGTTGTCCCTAGTGCTCTGTTACTGGTGGATGGTGTTGTTGGAACTCTGTTGTTGGTGGATGGTGTTGTTGGTGCTGTCCCTGGTGCTCTGTTGCTGGTGGAGACCGTTGCTCCAGTTGTAGTGCTGGGAGTAAGAGGTGCAGAGGAACCAGTGCTTGAGGAGTTTGATGTGGATGTAGTGGATGGAAGTCGCACTGCCCATCCCAGACCTTCAAATGGTGGGCGCCGAGTTGAAGAGCTGGGATGAGGTTTTCTTGCCACAAAGTTAGCTCTTGACTGACGGGTTAGATTCTTTATATATGAACTGTCCAGTTTCCTTTTGACATTTGTCAGGGCACTTCTCTCCCAGGGCAACTTCTTTACCAAATAGGCTGAAACTATGACGTTCCCATCCTCATCTTCTGACAAATCTGATTCGTCGGAACTTGTGTATTCCAATGAACCAATGACTTTTTGTATTTCTATCTTTTTCTCTGTAGACCAAGGCATCTTGGCAAGAATTGAAAGCCTCCTCTGGACTTTCTAGGTAGCCAAAGAGAAAAGAGACAAAAAGAGACCATAAAAATGCATTCACGTTGCCTTAAATCAAAGCATTGTATAAGTTTCAAGATAAATTCATGAAGAAAAAGTCCAAATAGTAATCTAAAAATAGAATGATAACTAATCTTTGCCTATGGCAATAAAAAGAAATGTTATTTTGATATCCAAAATCTACTTGTAACCTATGGTTTATTTGAAAGACTAAATATCAAATTCTTATGATTCAACTGTCAATACAGAAAACCAATACAGTGAAATCCTGAAAAATATACCGTATTGAACCCAAATAAAACAAACCTCTGTTTGTAAAATAAAATAATGTAAGAAATGCATGGTTAGCACAACTTCAGACAAACAAATTTCAAGGTCTGGAGTTTTTAAGGATTTTTTAAGGACAAAAAACAGTTTTGAAGGACCAAGATATATTCAATAAATCTGCCTTCTTTAACCCCCTTTGGAACACCTCATGCATGGCTATATCACGCCATGGATTCATTTATGAGCTACAGAAGTAGCATTCAAAATAACGAAGTAGAAACAAAATATTTTTCATGTACAAAAATGTTTTTATTTTACCTGCGAGTTTTACAGGTTCTTACACTGAGGATGAGCCAACTTTAAATACCATCAGCAAAAAAATGATCTAAATTTACAGAAAATTGTGTCGGGAGTAGACAAGGTAGTAAATTTCAAGGACTTTAACCAAATTCAAGGACATTTCGAGACAACTACTAAAATTCAAGATCTTTTCAAGATTGTACGAACCGTGGAAACAACATGGTTTCATTGAATTATTTTCATCATGTACATGGACTTGCTTTACAGTGTTTATAATAAGATTAGCCCATAGGAAAAAAAAGAAGAGTGTGATCTGATTTTTGAGTACAGTCAACTCTCTTTTTATGGACACCACACTAAAAACACCTAGAATTAGTCCCTACTTTCTTTACTCCTTTTATTTGAATCTCTGTAAGACGGACACATAGTGACGGTCTGAAAGATGTTCATATAAGAACAACTTGACTGGAGGGCTACAATATTGTATACAGATGTCAATGTGTGAACCAACTTTCATTTCACAAAAAATTTAAACCAAAACTTACATCTCTCATCCTCCCTTGCCTCCTACAAAGGAGAGTGTGAGCCTCCAACTTTCCTTTTTTTGCTCTTACTGAGGAATCTTTGATGCTCTTAAAGTAAGTGGAAGCTGCACCTTGAAAAAAACAAAACACCTTTGGTTAGTAGATTATACAACATACACAGTTAACTAAAGAACTAAGTTACAGGGTTCATACAAGGACTTTTCAAGGGAAAATGGAATTCAAGGTCTTTTCAAAGACTTCCCTAAAATTCAAAGACTTTACAAGACTGTGGGAACCCTGTAACAGGTTTAATTTTTAGCAGGGTCAAGGATATGTGTGAAAACATGTTTCTTCATCTATCCAGACACCCTCTCAGTTTCCAATAATAATTATTATTTAATTATTAAGTTAAAGTTGATCCTGTATTAAGTGGCACTGTATAAAGTCGTCACCCTCTATTAAGCGGTCAGTTTTCAAAGTCCCCAAAATTACTTCCCTTGATGTACTGTAATTTCGACTTATATTAAGCGTTCGTGGTCATCATTTGCAAAGTCCAAATGGGACTTTTTCTATTGTCTGTATTAAACGGTCACATGGTGTCAATTAGCAGGGGCACCCAACGACAATTTTCGGAAAAATATCTGTTCGGAAGACGATTTGAGATCTAGAATTTTCGGAACATTTGTTGTAAAATTTCTTGCTTGCCTACCTCTCCTAGGATTTTCGGACATCTAAAAAATGGTATAATTGCCTATTTTTAACGGATTTTTACCCTAAAAAGGTCACCTACAATTTTCGGGAGCCTTTTTTCTGGCTAAAATTTTCGAAAAGGTAAGTTTTGATCCCTATAATTTTCGGATCACTTGACTTTCAGCTAGGAAATCCGAACAGATGAAAAATTTTTAGGGGATAAAAACATGCCTATATCTACCGTTTAAATACTAAAATACGTTAAACAATTCTATGTTTAAGTGGTTTTGAACTATATTCTCGTTGGGTGCCCCTGAATTAGTTGCTCATACAGTTTCAAATAATGTAATATACGAAGTACAACAATAATAAATTGATTTCGTTGTTTATTTTCCCAAATCACTAAAAGCTGGAAATGAATTATGTTTCTATTTGAGGTCAAATGTCTCATCTGATCAGCAATGGAGATAGAATTTTTTGAACTGCATTTCTTGCAACCTGTCTTAGGCGGTCATCCTGTTTTAAGCGGTCACTTAGCCATTTTCCGAGGGTGACTGCTTAATACAGATTTGACTCTTCTATTTGTATTGTCTGATGGCAGTACTGTTAGAGTACTGCAGAATTGACACAATAACAAAGCATTTGCTGGAATTAGTGTATGTGACTAATAATGAAAAAGGTTACACATAATTATGGACAATAGGTATTGGCGACATGGGCTTGGTCTAGAAAAGTAACAACACTGTACAGTTGTATGCAACTTATTGAGTCAAAGTGTTTTTGTTAGTTACATTATTGTTTGCTGAATAAGTGGAAGAAAAAGTGTGGTGTGGATGCAAAGTAAGTTGCTTACAGTTAAGCATTAAACAAGAGCTGCAATTATGAAACCATGTGTTGCAGTCAATGTACCTCTTAATTCAGCTGCAGACCAGGGGCATTTGTCTCCACCATGATCAGCTAACACTGCATCGATTACTGTTTTGGTCACAGTTTGATTTTCCTCTGCTGTAAAACTAAATTGTGTCAAATAAGAGAAACATTCCCATCATAATTGAACTGTATGGTGTGATCATGTGACCCAATTCTGGGATAAGAATAAATGGAATTAACTCTATATGCAGAAATCACTTATTTAAATGGTATTCATGATGATAATATGACTGAGAGGGGTCCAATTCGATCTGTAATAACACAAGTGGTTAACAAAATCGGACGATTGCGTAGCAGGAGTCTGATTTTGTTAATCACTCATATGATTACAGACTGAATTGGACTGCGCAAAGTTCAGTTACCAATATTTATCATATTATTTTTAATCAGAACTATAACAAAATTTTTGATATTTAAGTTCTGTTTTTGAAAAAATTAAAACACAAGAAATTTCCAAGAGATTTTTGGCTGGCCATGAAAAAAAAACATTTAAGAATGCACATTACTGAGTATTCCCCTCAGCACAGAATGTATTTTGATAATTTGAAATTTGCCTTTATTTTCACCCAAATAGAACAAAGGGGCTTGCATCTCTTTCTTCACAATAACATAGGGAACTCACGCTCTTATTTGTAAACTGCAAATGGAAATTAAATAAGAGATAAAATGTTACCTGTTTTGTTTTATTATTGAATCTGCTGTGGTGTGAAGTGAAATGGAAGTTGTTTTATGATGGGAAAACTATGTTCAAGTTGACGCTTTAACCGTTGTTGATTTCATAATGCTTTATGTATAACCAACCCATTATTAACAAAAATATCACTCTTGACAGTATACTTTACAAATTACAGTTAACTATACCTTTCACTCACTACAAAGCCTTGAAAAGTGCCATTTCCAGCAAGAATCTTGTACATCTTTCTAAAATCTTGCTACAATGATTATGTAACAGAGAAAACAGGGAAAAAAATTTAAAATGATTAAAAGGTTGCTTATCTTTAATAAACTTGTACTTGACAAAACAGAGGCAGAGATTTCAACCCCATTTGAAGCACCAAAGGTGCCCACACAAGTGCCTTACATGTGAGCCAGTGGCAAAGGTCTGAGGGAAATTTGGCAAATTTAATTTGTCTTAAGCAACATTAACTGCATTTGACACTGCGGTGGTCTTCAATGGAGAGACTTGGTGAGACATTATAGGATAGGAAAGTCTAATATGTAATGTTTCACATTCAGCAAAAAATACTAAAAAGATAAGAAATTTTTTTCCTTGTCTTCAGATTTTCATGATAAATCGGGAGAATCTAAATATAAAACAGGAGTGCAAGAGGCGATACATATTATATCAGACTCCTGACTTGTTCGCAGATCAACACAACACGTTACCAAAATCGACCAGGAGAAACCCATTTGGAACCCCATGACTACTGGATTTATTATGTAAACATTGATTTACATCATCAGTATGGAATTTCTGCCGCTGAGTCGCAGACGTTCCTCCTCATGAAACGTCCATTAGTGGCGATGAGGGAGGAGAAACGTCTGCCATTCACAGGCTACATCATGTTGGTCAAGGTATGACAAAAGAAACATGCTAGGTACATGTAACATGTTAACACAATATCAAATCAAGAAGTCACCCCAGTATAAAACTAGCACTGCAGCGAGTTTTCTTATGTAAATACAATAATTACACAACTACATTAACAATGGCAACTAACTATAATCAGTGTAAGAGTATCGTATCCGTCACAACTTCGACATGTGGGGCCTTATATGTCTCAGCACATTATACGTAGGGCTTACATGAGGTACCGACCACCAGAGAATTTCAAAATGGCAGCAAAACAACTGGTTTACTGCGCATGTTCAATGCAATCCTTACGTTGAAAGTAAAATTTTTACCAATCCTCTACATTCTTTAAATATCATCGATCGAAGTATTAAGAGATAGAAAAGAGAACAACCACTTCACGTTTCATGAAGAAATCACCCTACTGAGCAGTCTCACTGAGCTTTAGTTCGCTTTTTAAGCTCACGAAACTGAGATCGCATTTGGTCTATTTGGATAGTAAACTTGCGCTTGCATGGTCGAAGCCACCGTATGGATTTTTACATACTCAGGAATAATGTAAATACTTACTCGACACTGTTGAGTAATAATGACGTTCCTGGTTCTTTTCCTGTTGTTTTTTGTCCGCGGCATGACAGGATCAGCGTTTTCGCCATCAAGCTTTGAACAAAGCTTTTTGAGAAGACGTTGGTTTTCGGCATCTCTTTCTTCCATTGCCTCTCTAAGACGATTGTTTTCAGCGAGGACCCTTTCCAGAAGAACAACGCATTCGTCACCCATTTTCTGTCCAGGTATTTAAATCGATACTTTTAAGCAAGTATAAAGCAAAAAAAGTAAAGGAACGATACACCGAAGGCGACAGAACTTGTGACAAATGTGTGAAATTGAGCCGCCGAAACGACGCTTTTAAATGGCTTTTAATTACGCCGACAAAAAGCCTGCCGCATTGCCGCCAAAAAAATGGGGTTTGACGATTGGTTAAAATTTCAATTTATCACGTTGTGATTGGCCAAGATGTCATCTCCTCCCCAGTACTTTGCTCAGTTGCGATGCAGACCTTGCTCTCAAAACAACATGTCTTCCGCAGTTCGATCTCGTTTGAATAAGCAAAGTAGAGTTTTTTGTGGCCATTGCAACGAGTACTTATCAAGGGCTACATTCTGGAAACATCGTAGGCTTTACTATGATGTACACAGCGAACGCTGGACAACTGAAGCTAAAGACTACGCTCAGCAGTTGAAACAAAAAGCAAAGCGACCAAAGTATGCATCTGAATTGAGTGAAGAGACAAGCACAAAACTGCAGTCCGATTCTTCTGGCGACGAGGATCTTGAGGCGACTATACCTGATAAAGGTATTTACTGATTATCTATGACTAAGCGTTGTATGAAAACGGCTTCTTAACTTAGATTTTTCCTTAGCTTGTTGCGGCACTTACCGGTTCAAGGCGTGCGTTTTGAAAAAGTAATTGTTGTCTATTAGATAGTAAGCTTAAGTTCATTGTTATACACTTAACTTTATCCAACAAAATTTAACCTGTGCTGGAGGGAGGTTATTAACTGAGTGCAAAAAATGACTACATCTTTAAGCATTCTTATAAGAATACCTTATAATGCATTCACCACACCACTGGCACATGTCCCACAATACACCCTGTTTGCCCTGCAAAAAAAAAAAAAAGAAGTTTTCCACAACCTTTGCTTTTAATTTTTTTCTGGGTATTGCAGTTGTCCCAGGAGTAATGTTGGCTTAACCAAAGTTATCTAATTGGAATGCTCATGAAACCTGTTATATGTTTTTGTTAGTTTTTTTTTTTAACCATTCAATAGCATTCCTGTCATTTAGAACTCTACTGACCAATAGAGAAAAAGGATTGTGCACCGTTGTTTCAACTTTGATGTTTGCCGGTTTTCATAACCAGTCTCCTCTGCTGACTATGGCTTAACAGAGTCTATGCATCGATAAATGTTAATTCCTGGCTATGGCTACATGAAAAACCTGTCCCATTTTCTCGGGTGTTAATGGGCCAAAAGTTCAAGTGACTGAGGAAGTCAATTTTTTTTACCTTTTTGCACACATATTCAATTTTAATTGTTACATGAATCTCGTTATTGTTGCTTCTACTAATTATTGCTGTGGCTCTAACAGGTTGTCTCCAAGAAAATGCTTGTGATGACATTTTTGTGAAAATGGATGAAACTGAAACAGATGAGGTGAGATGCTTGACACTGATTCTTAGCCATGTAAGATACTCCCTATCAGTTACTTATCAACATTGCTTTGAAACTATTTGGTTGATCACTAGCAAACTTTTCGTTGAGGTTTGCAACTTTCTTTGATAAAATATTGAGTAGTGATTTTCAGAGCTTAATACCAATCTTGGACTGAAATTTTAATGTGAAATGAAATAGACACAAAAATGATGGCAATTTTCCTTCCAAAGTTAATTGTTTCCCTTTTTGGCCCAGTCAAAACATAGAAACGTAATTACCCCAAAAGGAGGAACCAAAATAAACTGGTCATGTCATCATGGGACCTGCTGGTATCAAACCAGAATCTTTTATAAGCCACAACCAGAATAAGCCTCAGCTTAATATTTTTTCCTATACCTTGTTTGCAAAGAAACATGTAGTTTCACTGAAGGAAAACTATATTTCCATAACTTGCTACTGATAACATTATGCAACTTCTAATATTTGTTAGATCATGATGTAAATGCACTTACATGTTCATGTACATCATAATGTGCTGTTAAATTTTTTTAATGGCAAAGTTAATGTTCTTAGATGGAAAATTTTATTATTATAATTAAAGCCAAGAACGTTCTCATTGTCGTGAGTAAATATTTCTCTTCAGTTTTATTTGTACTATTTATTTTTTTTTTTGGCCTTTGAGATATTTATTGTCACCCATAATAATCTTTAGACAACTGGGATAGTGTAGATTGTATGTGAATAATATTATGTGCTCTGTAGGTGAAAAGACTGAAACCAGCAAATATTTGGTAGAGTAGAATTCTGTGTTGAATGTAGCTGATATAAATATTTTTTTTATCATAATCCTAAGGATTTGATTTCTGACTCTGAGGATTCTGAGACCAGTAGTGAATGCGGTTGCAGTGATAGCTGTGGTGAAGAAGAAGACTCTGAAGAATGGCATAGAGATGTAGATGATCTCCTGGAAGATGTTGCTGGGGATGAAGCCCTCCCAGAACCATGTCGTCATCAATCATCAGTACAGTCTTTAACTTCATTACTCCAGTGGTTCATTTATTTTTTGTTATTTTGGCAAGCTACCACCAAACTAAGTGACAATGGTCTTGAATGGCTCTTGCGCTTTCTGTTCCAGTTTTTGCACATTTTAGGAATTACCAGCAACAGTCAATATCTTTGTCAACTGGCCCTTCTGTTTCCAAGCTCTCTGTACCTGTTGCGAAAGTTTGTAAACCTGAAACGTGACAATTTTGTCAAGTTTGCAGTTTGTCCAAAATGTGCGGCACTTTATCAACTGAATGATTGCACAAGGTTGGTTGGAGGTCAGATTGTGTCTAATGTATGTACAAGAAGGCCATTCAAGAAAGGTAAAAGGGGACCATGTGGAGCAGCATTGGCAAAAAAAGTAATCCTGGGTAGTGGTAAAGTTTGTTTTTATCCATTTAAACTTTACTGCTTCAACAGTGTTATTGAGCAAGTTGAAACTTTGCTTAAAAGACCAGGCACTCCTGAAATGTGTGAGCAGTGGCGTGAACGTATTGTTGATGAAAACATAATATCAGATGTGTATGATGGCAAGATCTGGAAGGACTTTCTTAAGTACAAAGGAAATGACTTCCTCAATGCACCCAGGAACCTTGCATTTGCTATTAATGTGGATTGGTTTCAACCCTTCAAGAGAAGAAATGACAGATCTGTGGGGGTTATATATCTGGTTTTATTAAATCTACCTAGGGAAGAGCGTTTTAAATGGGAGAATGTTATAGTTGCAGGGATTATACCAGAGATGACAAAGGAGCCAAAATCATTAAACACTTTTTTGGAGCCAATTGTTGACGAGTTCAAGGCATTTTGGAAGGGTGTAAAACTGACAACCAGTCAGAGTGGGATACCACTTACCTATCGAGGCGCTGTTATTCTCGCATCAGCTGATTTGCCTGCAGTGCGTAAACTGTGTGGATTTAAAGGTCATTCAGCACATCGTGGCTGTTCCAAATGTTTTAAATATTTTCCAAGTAGTTTTGGTGAGAAAACTGATTATTCTGGCTTTGAAAGAGACTTGTGGCCACCACGTCACAATCGCAGTCACCGCATCCATGCGGAAATGGTACGCAAAGCATCTACCCAAAGCAAGCATGATGAATTAGCCAAAAAGTATGGTATCTATTATAGTTGCCTTTTGCAGCTTGAATATTTTGATGCTGTGAGGTTCACCTCTATTGATCCTATGCACAATCTGTTCCTGGGAACTGCAAAATATGTCTTCAAACTCTGGGTAAAGAAGAATTTGCTAAGCAAGAAAAATCTAGAGATTTTAGAGCAAAAGATTCAGTTGTTTGATGTTGGAACAGGAAATGGACGTTTGCCCCACAAAATTGCATCAAACTATGGTGGTTACACTGCATCACAGTGGAAAAATTGGACGCTGATATATTCCTTGTTTTGTTTAAAAGATCTGCTTACAGAGAGACACATAATCTGTTGGCAGATATTTGTTCTTGCCTGCAAGTGGATATGTTCTCCAATCATATCCAAGACTGATATTGTCAAAGCTGATCTGCTTTTTGTAAAATTTGGCCAAAAGTTTGAACAGTTGTATGGAAAGAAGTTTGTCACCCCTAATATGCACCTTCACTGTCATTTAAAGGAATGTGTAATTGACTGTGGACCAGTGCATGCATTCTGGTGCTTCAGTTTTGAGCGATTTAATGGAATTCTGGGGAGTATGCAAGTTAATGGAAGATCTATTGAAGTGCAAATTATGAGAAAACTTCTAGCTGGACGTTTTGTTTGGGATGTTACCTTCCCAAATGAATTTCAAGAAACCTTTATGCCTTTTTTTACACCAGAAAAAAATGATTGTGCTGAAGGTTTAATTTTAAAAACTGCTACTCAGTTATTTAACAGTGCCTGTTGCTGGAATATAGGAGATTTTCATTGGTCTGATCTTACCCTTGTTGGTCTACCCAACTCATTCAAACACTTTGTTTTGGATTCAGATGAACTAAGGGTACTGTTTGAATGCTACAAAACATTGTATTCTAGACAAGAAGTTGAATTATCTTCAAGTGTTGGCCGCAAGTATTCAAACATCAGGCTTGGGACTGAGAAGTTTGGGTCAAAGTTGGATCGTCGAAACATGAGGAGTGCTCGTATAGTAGCTTCTTGGACTGCTGAGGATGGCTCCATTGACATCTCTGCACCCAGCCGACCTGGGATAGTTAATTGCTATGTTGTCCACAGTGTAAAGCTCAATGGAGAATTATATCAACATGTATTTGCTGTTGTCTGGTGGCACAAAACTGATCATGAACAAGATCATTTTGGCAATCCTACTCAGGTTTGGAAATGCTATGATTATGTACACTGTGGACCCTCACTCTTTATGCCAGTGCAGCGCATAAAGCAAAAATTTGCATGCTGTTCTGTAAAACTTAATGGGGAAGAGAAGTTGGTAATTTCCCCCATACCCAGATTATTTCACTAATGGAAATTATTCTCAGAGCCGTGTACTCAGCAAGTTAAAGACTGAAACAATTTTCAGTACACTCAAACAAGGAACGAGATGTTGTTGTAATTTTTTTTTTTACTATATTTAACAAACAAGGCAGTTCACAGTTTTAGTAGGTACTGAAAAATGTTTTATAATTTCTTTGTGCATGGAGTTACCAGAACCAAGTGATA